GGCAGGGGTATCAGCATATTTGTGGCCATGCGGTTCCGGCCCCAGCATATCATTGCCGGCCATTTGCTCATCTCGTTTGCCGGTCTGGCGATACTATACGCCGGCCAGCGGTCGCTGGAGTGCCTGTGGGCCGGCTCTATGATCATGAGCTACGGCCTGTCGCCGATTATATGTAGCACCTATTGCTTTCTGGCCCAGTATTTAGATGTTAAGAATCGTGTGGGCACCGTGTTGCTTTTTTCGGCCGAGTCTCTCAACATGTTTGTGCCGTTTCTCATGGGTATACTTATTGAAAAGTTTGCCCAAATTTTTGCCCTCATTATGTTTGCCAACCTATTGTTGAGTAGTTTAATGTTTGTCGCGATTTTGTATATTGTTATGAGAGCTGAACGTAGGGCTAAGTGTCCGTCAGTGAAATAATTTGTACTGTTTTTTAAGTTTTCATTATGATTGTTTTAAATTAGTATTTTTAATTTAATTTATTTTTTTGTAGGTTTGAGCATGTTGTTTAGTTAGGTTGTGCATAGATAGCTATTATTAATAATAGCCTATTAACTATAAGTTGGTTTATTTGTTTTTATAATGGTAAAATAATTACCAATCAACATTTATAAATGTAAACTTTAAGAGATCTTGTTTAATTTTTTAAATATATTTATTATCATTAAATATTTTATAAATGCGCTATTTTTATACGAAAACAATTATTTTTAATACATTGATCGCAAAATAATCATGTATCACGTGATCGCCCATCACAAACATTTTCATTTATAAACATTTTATAAAATTCCTGATGATAAATAATGGTGTGATGTACTGACATTTACAAGGATTTAATTGTATAAATGGATTAATTTATTAAATTTAAATTACAAATATAGATTTTGAAATTTTAATTTTTAGCAAAAATATTTTGGAAACATTATTTTATTGCATTTATTCTGTAACCTTCATTATTTTTATACAATTCAATAAATAATTATAATTAAAACTAAATATGGTTTAATTATTTTGCGTAATAACAATTTTATTTGATTAACACCAAGCAAATAAATACAAAGTAATATACTTTGAGCAAATTAATTAATTAATTAAGAAATTAAAATTTTTTATAAATAATCACGAGCGTGCCAGGTCTCGCAGCGCGTGGGTCTTAAAGTAGAAGTAGCTAGACAAATAATACCAACTTCCTATATATTTTATAAGCATAACTTTGAACTTCATAACTTTTCTAGATTTTTAAACATAATCTATTTTTTATGTCGAGTGTTTACTCAATGCATATAACGATAAGAGCATTGAATTCTTAATGTTATATAATATTTAAGTTTTATATCATTTATATAAAACTACTTAATTTATATAATGTATAAATAAATTATATAATAACTAAAACATGGTCAATATTTTTCATTTATTATTTCGCAAATATATTTATCTAGCTTGATCTAAAACTAAATATTTATAATAACCAGCAAATAATTTACCGGGATTCACAAATTATAATATCATGATCAAAATGTTATAACCCTTTCAATAACATTAATGTAAAACTAAAGAATACATAATTACTAACCAAGCAAGAATTATTATATAATACAAGGATTTAAATCACATTAGTGTTTAATCAATCAAGTGTACTGTGAAAATAGTTTTTGATAAAAAATTAATCATAGTTATTTAACGATTAAATAAATAACTTTCTGAGGTATGTGTATTGTATAAGTGTATTAAATCACGGGTATATACAGTATATATATACATTATGTACATTATGTACGATATATACTTGACATTATCAATTGAGCTCATGGACAATGGTTGGGTTGGTTAGTTATTTTAGTACCAAGTTGCAATTCACAAAATATTAATTAGTTTATTTTAAAAATAAATATTATAATAATTTTATAATATTTTAAATAATTCATTTTATTTCTACTACAGTATTATTAAGATAATTTTATTCAACTTTGCAAATAATGTATATACACTAAAAATACCCTGGTGATTGCAAAAAAAAATAATGATAGTGATTTGTAGGTAGCATTTGGATCTAAGTGACTTAGATGTTTATTAAAAATAAATTATTTATTAATTATATAAGTGTGCTTCATTGATTAATAATCTTATTAGATACAGTTTATAGTAATGTAATTTGCTCAAGTTAATTTATTTGTTGTAATTAATTAATTTCAATCATATATATTGTTAAAAAAGTAATTATTAATTAATTTAAAAGTCATGCTAAAAAGTTGGGACAAATACGCCTACACAGCCATACTATGTTTCAATCATATGTCATTTGTGAGTATTTATATTATTATCATATTTAATGAACATATCAAATGAACTATAATTAATTAAAATTTTTAATTTATTCAAGGCCATGTGTTTCACAGCAATTGGCACTGTATTGACCGAAATGGTGGACATATTGCAGACGTCCACTCAATGGATGACAATGTTTACCACATTTACATCCATTGGATTTTTAATAGGATCATTGTGTACGTACTCTCTCTCTCTCTCTCTCTCTCTCTCTCTCTCTC